CAACACGAACAAGTCGACAAAACCTATGGTGTTTGATTTGGATTACCGAGCATCAGAAGTGGCGCGAAGAAGCTGCATCTTGCAGTGCTGCTTTACCTGTGAGAAACCAGCCTGCATTTCTTTTTTCCTTCCTTTTAGAAATTTCCGCAAAATTTGCATTTTTGGTGGCTGCAAAACCGATTTTTTTGGCGTTTTCCAAAGAAAGAAAGCATCCAGAATTTTTAAAATTCTGTTGCCGGTGCATTCAGTGCAGCTAAATGAAAGTTGGTAAAAACGGCTGGGATTCGTAGTTAGTTGCCGCTGTTGATCGAATCTCTGTAGCATGAGGAATGCATGCGGTTCAGATTGCTGTTAATGCGAAGTTGCATACTTTGTCTTGAAAGATAAGCGGCTATCTGGTAACGCTGACGGTTGCCACCACCAGTGCGCATTACGATGTTTTTTTTTTTCTTTTTTACAGTGTTTTGCCCTGGTACAGGAAGTACCATGTTATAGCACTGTTCAAATCGTTGTCGTAGATGAAGCGTCAGGCACAGTGACATCTTAAACTAGTTTTTGCATGACGAGATTGATAGTTAATGCGTTTTGAAAATTTTTGGCATTTTTTCCATCTTCTGGAGAAAAAGGCGATTGGATGTAGAGATGATCCAGCACATAAAATTGATCTGATTTTCCAAGATCTTTTGTCTTGGTCCCCTTTTGAACCGCACTTCTATGATCCTGGGAGTCTGGTTTCGTTTTGAAATAATGCTGAAAATTTTGCCAAGCATTTTCAACCAAAGCAATTGTAACAGTTTGCTTTTCAAAAACCGGGCGTGCATTTGGTACATTGCTCATTTCAACGTGAGCAGCATCTATTAACCACAAGCATTTCGAGAGGCATAATGCTTGTTTGCTGTGTTTGTGGCGCATCTGTGATAGTTTTTCTGTATAATTTATTCGTCCGTTCTGCTATTTGCTCGTTGGCCGGCCTGGAAACTGCTGTTTTGCGGCACTTCGTTTTCTGAGGTGAAAAATTGTCCCGGAAGCAATTGTTTTAAAGAAATGTTGGTTAGAATACTTATAAAAATGGATAAATTGTGCTGCACTGCAGAAGTGCATGCCGGGCTGCTACAAAGTAGCAGTATCGCAATGTATAAACGTTACACGAAGCACTAACTCAACCATTTTGCGACTCTGTTTCTGAGCAATTTGTGCGAAAAGCTGTACTTGGGACGTAAATTCCGGGGAGGGAGGCACTGTATGTTCTGTTTTAGGATAGGGTTTTGCACTGCACTGCCGTCAAGATTGGTCATCGGTAGGCGCCTTGGAGGTGCCGCAGGCTCCACTTCTTGCCGGCCACATTGTACTGGACGAGACCATTCAGAGTTTGTGAATCTTTCAGTGTATATTTATATGTTTGATTCTGTTGTTTCTGAGTATTACCTGTTACTGTGGGCACCCGAACAGTGTTGCGTGTACTGGAAGTGCACAGCTCATCAAGGAAGCAACTACTTACGGATCCATTAATGACTGCTTCGAGTGTGGTCGGTACCGGCTTCCGGTCCTGCCAACCTTTATTTTTGGTACTTACTTTCGGAGACATTAGCACTAAGTTGAAAAAGCATCCTGCTTTTTTTGCCGGAGTTTCGCAGAAGGAGTTCCATTTGAAAATGAGGGTTTCCCTGGGAAATCGTGTAGTTGCAGAGCCACCCTCGCAGATAATTTTTCGTCTTTATATATAATTACATGCTTCCCAAACCTACGACCTCAGGCCCGTGCTCCAGCTAGTTTTATAAATTGGAGGTCGTGAAGTCTGTCAACCGGAGATTTCGACACACCTTTTTTTCCCACTCGGAATTCTCGCAGGCGAAAAATCTAAATCAGTTCCTAAAACTGATTGCGTCTGACTTCTGAATTTGGGCTCGTACTGAAGTTAGCTTTATAGTCAGAGAAGCTGGAAATGCTTGGACAGGAATTTTAAAAGAAATTTGAGCGTATATAACGTCGTCCCCTGTGTGCGCCCTCGTTTTTCCCCCTTACGCGCTTTTTTCCATCTTTTAAAGTTACATTTTTTACCGCTCGTAACATTGAGCTTTTCGCCCGGCAACCGATCTAGTCCTGCGTCACTTAATTCGTTTATAACACACACCATCCTGTATGGAGAAGACACAGTTCTTTCTTACGCTCGATTTGCCTCTTTTTGTTGTTTTTTTCTCCCTCCCAGCCGCTCAAACATTGACATTTCCTGTCCTCACAGTGCATATTTCACGTGTTGCGCTGATGTGTTGTGACACCTTAGCCGGCGTATCTGTCTATCAATAAATTAAAAAAATAAGATGGTGGAACCGAAGCCTTCGGTCTGTTTCAGCTGAATGCTTCTTGGGAATGACTGGAACCGGAAACATAGAAGTTGTTAGCGCTTCATTACCGGCTACCAGATCATCTTAGCACTGAAGGAGCCTCGGAACTGATGTATGACCCAGT